TAAATGCATCAGTATTAATATTAATGATGCTGAGGTTGAGATACCTTGCCTTACACCAGTTGGTTCCCTGCCTAAAAATGAAAGTGTTAGTCACTCAGTTGTGTCCAAGTCTTTGTGAACCCATGGGCTATAGCCCACCAAGCTCCTCTGTCCATGGAATTCTACATGCAAGAATACTGGAGTGGGTTACCATTTCCTTCTTCAAATAAAACAGGCTGTAGGGTTCTCAGTGCTATTATGAAGAGGCTATGTGAGCCTACGAGAAAGATAACTAACTTGTTCATGACAATGTTGTCTAGGAAGAATGTCAGTTTTATTTATAACTTTAAATATTTATACATTTTGTTTAGTATTCTTACCTTATTTTACTCATAAAACCCTCATTAAAATGTAAAATAGAAGTAGTTATAGCAAGAATGTGGATATATTTTTGATCTTGGAGGAAAGCTCTTAATATTTCATGTTATCTGCAATATATACTGTAGTTTTAACATAAATATCCAGAGTTAGTTTCCTAGGGCTGCTGTACAAAATACCACAAACTTGGTGGCTTAAAAAAATGTATTTATTCAGGAATTTATTATTTTAAATTTTTATTTTTTCTTGATTTTCCTGGAACATTAAAAAAAACTATTTATTTATTTGTTTTTGGCTATGCTGGGTCTTTGTTGCTGGGCTTTTCTCTAGTTGCAGTGATGGGAGTTAGTCTCTAGTTGCACCGCATGGGCTTCTCACTGCAGTTCCTTCCCTTGTTGTGGAGTATGGGCTCTAGGGCACGCAGGCTTCAGTAGTTGTTGCACGTGGGCTCGGTAGTTGCACGTCCCAGGCAGTGGGGCACAGGCTCAGTAGTTGTGGTGTCTGGGCTTAGTTGCTCCACAGCATGTGGGATCTTCCTGGATTGGGGATGGAACTGTGTCTCCTGCATTGGCAGCTGGATTCTTTACCACTAAGCCACCAGGGAAGCTCAGGAATTAAGTTCTTTCAAAGTTCTGGAGGAGAGACATCCAAAATCAAGGTGCTGATGGAGCCATGCTCCCTTTGAAGATTCTAGGAAATAATTTTTCTTTGCCGCCTCCAGCTTCTGGTGGTTCCTGACATTCCTTGGCTTGTGGAGGCATACTTCTAATCTCTGCCTCTTCTCTGTGTCCCTACCTTTGAGGTCACTCATTTGACTTCCAGGTCCACTCTAGTTCAGGATGACCTCATCTAGAGCCATACCTTAATTATATCTACATTGTTTGATCTCCAAATAAGGGCAAATTGAGGTTTTGGTGAATGTGAATTTTTTGGGAACACTATTCAACCCAGTATACCTTCTATGCTTAATATGCTACAGCTTTTGCTATGAAATTTATTGAGAATGGATATTTGTTTTTATCAAATACTTTTTCTATATCTACTATGTTGCTTGTATGATTTTTTTCCCCCTTGTATCCTTAACATGGTGAATTCCTTTGATTGATTTCCAAAAATCTTAAACTCTTGTGAGTAAATTTGACTTAACCTGGTGTTTCACCCTACTTATATATCAGTGGCTTTAGTTTGCTATTACTTTTCAGAGTTTTGTGTCTGTATTGAAGAGATACACAAATTGGGTTGTAATTTCCCTTTCTTGTAAAGTTACTGACCTTTAAAAATATTATGGTTATTGAAAGGAAAGGATTGATAATGGGTCTGTAACTCATCTGCTGTTTCATGGTAACCAAGAGAAAGAGGGATGGTGGAAGTGGGAAGAGAGGGTGTGTGGGTGGAGAAAGGAGTCACAGAGGTAGAAACAGAGAGGCATAGAGAGGTAGGATGATGGGTTGGGAGAGACTGAATGAGAATAACAGGAAGAAATGATCTGGTCAAATCTTCATGAATACCTACTTAGTGGCTCTCTTCCTAGTGATATTTATTAGAGTATGGATAATGGAATGTTATTATAATAGCAGGATATATCTTGTCCTTCTAGTTTGCTCTTGGTAAATTAACATGGAATTTAGGTTCCATGGGGTACATGACCTACAGAAAAATATTAATGTTGCTCTGTAATTACTGGAATATAGTAGGGAGAGTTTTCATGACCAAGATAGATTTCATGACTTTTTGTAAGTGATATTCTTAATGCATCATTGGAGATCACATTTTATATCTGGGTCAGAGAGCATCCTATTGCAAGAAGAAAGAACCTGGGCAAGTTACGTTGGCAGTCTCAGACTCCTGCTTCACTTCGTGTCTTCCAGTTACCTGAATCCTTTGAATTATTACAAAAGTTTGAAACTGTAAAACTGTAAAAACTCTGATTCTTGTGTGTTTGGCTTGACACTCAAACCTTTTGTCTCAACCTTATAAATTGGAGTGGGATGTGTCAGGTTGCAGTCAGGTGATAGGAATCACACAACTAATTTGTGCAATGAGAATTTAAGCAAGCATTACCTTTGTTAAAGTGTTTAGCTAGGTAATTGAAAGGATACATGATTGTTAATCTCTTTTCAGTCAACCTAATTTTTGCACAATGGGTTCACCTGTAGAGAAGAACTATGGAGTAGGTCTGTTACACAAGCTTTTTCTAGCGTCTGCCTCTGTAGAATGTTTGGCCTGTTGACAGCACAGATGGGCTCTTCAAATGATACCATCTTTTGAGGATGGAAATCGATCACTTGAAGGTAGTTATTAACATTTAACCCCTTCTAAAATGGAAGAGACAGAAATATTTCCTTCCTGGCATTAATAAATAATTCTGAGTATAGATTATCTTTCCCATTTTTAGTGCTTTGGCCAGCACAACTAGCCAAGTATTCAGTGCCTGATTTTCTACACGAAATCATGCACAATATTTCCTTAGGCTGAGATTGCTCACTTTATAGTAAAGAAAATTCACAGAAGCAAACATAACTAGGGAACCAATTCAACTTATCATATACTGCACAACTGAGATTCGATAGCACATTGGCAGTCTGTTAAAATTACAACTGAGGCACTAGATTGAAGATGATACACTGCAAAGATGGGGTCTGTGCTTCAAAATAATATTCTTTGAACTGTCTGTAGATAAGTGCTATGGCCCCTACAGATAAAATATGTGTCTGTGTGCTCAGTCGTGTCCAACTCTTTGCAACCCCATGGACTGTAGCCTGCCAGGCTCCTCCGTCCAAGAGATTCTCCATGCAAGAATTGTGGAGTGGGTTGCCATGTCCTACTCCAGGGGATGTTCCTGATCTAGGGATCAAAAAACCCATAACTCCTGTATTGACAGGCAGATTCTTTACTACTGAGCCACCTGGGAAGCACATTAAATGCACAACTCTGTAAAACAAGTGTTAGTCATGCAGTCATGTCCGACTCTTTGTGACCTCACGGAGTGTAGTCTGCCAGGCTCCCCTGTCCATGGAGTTCTCCAGGTAAGAATACTAGAGTGGGTTGCCTTGCTCTTCTACAGGGGATTTTCCCCTATAAAACAAAGGGACAGAGAAAACAGTAGTATTTCTTATCATGAATTTCAGTGAACTTCTTGTGCAGTTTGTATTTTCTAATCCTGAAATCTTAGGATCTGCTGAAGTGGGGAGAATGCTTTTTTGATGAGACATAGTATGGATTCTAATAAACAATTTTTAGCTGCTTTTCTGTCATTTGAGTTTTCTCATGTTAGAAGAACAACAGTCAGAAGGCTGAGTAATCTCATTTTTATCCCATGTTGGATAAAGATAGGGTTGCTGCTTCTTAATGGGTGATACAGTGAAGAATATTTCTAAAATGAGAGGTGCTTCTAGGCTCCATGGTTGGCTCCATGGTTGATGGTACCTGTAAAAGTGCAATTGTAGCAACAATAGGCTGGCTAGAACATTTTAACCAGCAGTTCAAATGCTCATAAATTAACTGGGTCATCTCACTGGGTAAGCAACATGGATCATCAGAAGTGCCTAAGGATGAGGGGGATTTAAATGGGTAGTAGAAGAAAATATCAGTGAGGAGCAACAATGCAGCTATATCCTGTCTTTCCTGTTTAGAGCCTTTCTTTTGTGAAATTGAAAACCACCACTTTGAAGAGTCTATGACAGGATGAAGTAGAGTTAAGTAGGAACTAAAGTGGACTATGCCTGGACATTTATTGTTTTCAAACAAGGATATGGTTTCCCACTGCCAGCAACTGAAAGTATAACTGATGACTTGTCTCTAGCTTCCTCACATATACAGTATCCTGTGTGGGAAAGGCTGGGTATGCCAGGGAGTTAATGTACTCTCTAAAGGTGATTTAAAGAAGTACTCTGGCTTCCTTTCCTTACCTGGGACATTTCTAAATCTCAGACTTTATAGAGTCCCCCAGAGGGTTACAGTAAGATTACACCCCAGCTACATTTACATTCTTCACTTGTCTCACTTTGCTAAATAATGATGTTTCTAAAAATAAGCTTTCAAGTAGATCAGTTTAGTTCAATCGCTCAGTCGTGTCTGACTGTTTGAGACCCCATGGACTGCAGCACACCAAACCTCCCTGTTCATCACCAACTCTCGGAGTTTACTCAAACTCATGCCCATTGAGTTGGCAATGCCATCCAACCATCTCATCCTTCAAGTAAATCACCCGTAATCAAATTTTGTCTTTAGGTCTTCTTCTGAGGGAACACTAAAGAGTAGCTAAGTAGATCTACTAGTTCTACATATATTCTATGTGATGATTCCTAACATTCAGCAAAGCAAGTCTGCCACTTATTTTCAAACCTTATGAGAAACAGAAGAGATGTCATTATATTATTTCTATTATCAAGATGATACATTTTTAATTATAAATATGGTTTAGTAAAGAGTGATACTGTATACTAAAATAACCAATTTTTTTGATGGATTCACTTTTCCAGTAGTAGTTAAGGCAAAGAGCTGATTCTCTACAGAGCTGAAGGAATATGTTCAGTGGGGTAGATGCCATGTCCATATCTGGCCATGTTAAATATCAGACACCTAGTGGAGATACCTAAAGGACAGATAGATGGATAGTTTTAGAGTTCCAAACACAGCTCTAGTCAGCAAAATCTGACATAATGTCTCTCTTTGTTCAATCTTTTTATAGCTACTTTTATGTCTTTGTTTCTTAATGTGTATATGGAAGGATTCAAGATAGGGGTAATAACAAAGTCAACAATGAACAGGTATTTATCAACTGATGATGTGGGGAAAGGCCATACATAGAGAAACATGCATGGAGTGAAAAAAAGAACCACCACAGTGATGTGAGCTGACAAAGTGACAAATGCCTTGGACAAGTCTCCTGAAGAACGTTTCCAGACTGTGACCAGAATGAAGATGTAGGAAAGGATTAGCAGAAAGAAGGTACCCATAGTCATGAAACCACTGTTGGCAGCAACAATAAACTCAAGTTTGGCTCCATCTGTGCATGCAAGTTTTATGATCCTGGGAAAGTCACAATAAAAGCTGTCTACTTTGTTAGGACCACAAAAGGGCAAGTTTATAATGAAAGCAAATTGAGACATAGCATGGATCACCCCAGCTACCCAGCCAGTGATTACAAATGAAATGCATATTTTAGGATTCATGATGTTCAAGTAGTGAAGAGGCTTGCAGATTGCTGTGTACCTGTCAAATGCCATGGCTATGAGTAACACCATCTCCACTCCTCCCATGATATGAATGAAGCATATTTGTGTCATACAACTTTTGAAAGAGATTATCTTGTATTTATTTGGAAGGTCTGTAATCATCTTGGGGACTGTGGTAGAGGAAAGGCCAACATCAATGAGTGACAGGTTGGCTAATAGGAAGTACATAGGAGAATGTAAGTGAGAATCCAAAATTACCAAAAACAGAATGAAGAGATTTCCCAGGATGATTCCTAAATAGAGCAAGGAGAATATCAACATGAGAAAAAGTGAAGTTTCCCAAGAACTAGAGAATCCTAGTAACACAAACTCAGAAACCACAGAATCATTTTGTCTATCCATTGACTTGGGCAGAAGAACTCTTTCTCAAATCACCTGAGAATAGGAAAAGAAAAATCACAGTCAGTAGTACAAAGGCAGACTTCCAATTTTCTTGCTAGTGTTTCCTGTGGGTTCCACTTTCCTGAGCGTGAAATAATTTAATTGGATAAAGGAAAAATAAAAAAACCACAGAAACATTTTGACAATCAGGAGAATTTTTACAGAAAGAGATAAAAATGAATATTTCAGATGGAGATAATTGGGTTGCATTCCTTCTTATTCCATTTTAAGATAATTATTTTGTTTTGCCTCTCAAGAATTGCTAGATATTTTCCTTGACTACTGACCTAGATATTCTCTCAGCTGAATAGTCTCAGCCATTTCTGTCACCTTGATATTAATGCTCTCATACTAACTTGTAGTCCTCCTTGTCTGAATTTCTTATTCACTGGTCAAATGGAGATCTTTCAGCCAAAACTGTTTATGTAATGTATTTCACCTTTCTTCACCCAGTATGTCGTTGTTGTTTGTTTTTATTTGTATGTGTGTGTGTATGATTTACCTGGGAAGTCAGAGGCTCAGATTGAGATTATTCATAATATTCTGTTCAATACATTACTGTAATTGTGTTTGCATTGGCCTATATATCAAATAAAATGTTAGATATAATAGAATAAACACCAATAAGTGTTTAAAAAATACAGTTGTTATTAATAACATTTATTGATTTCTTCATACAAGGCACTGTAATAAGCACATGATCTTATTTTAACTATTTAAAATTCCATAAGATAAGCACTATTTCATTAGATTCATTTTACCCATGAAGAAACTGAGTCTCAGCGGGATCAAATGTAAGAGCCAGAACTGTCTATAGTTATAGGGCACCATAATGCATACCCTAAACAATGGCACTGTGCTCTCAAAGGCCAGCCTCTTCAAGTATACCCTAGATATTTCCCAAGGATCCGTCAATGAACTTTCAAGTTTGTATTTTCCCTGATTTATTAGTATAGTGAACTGTCTTTAAAAAAAAATAAAACCTCTGGATTTTTTGTCACCTTCTTGTTGTTCCTTTTTTTCCCAACTATTCATTGGCAAGCATATTCTCACACTTCATTCATTCATTAGCTAAAACTGGTTCCCCCAGATTTCTTATTTATAGAAAAGAACTCTGGATATTCAACACATCATATAATAGTCACTTTTCAATGATTATTTACCCTAATCTCCCTGTGAGATTTAGTACTGTTTATTATGCCTCGCTTTTGTAACTCCGCCCTCTACTCTAGGTTTGTGCCTCTCTAAAGCCATTCACCTTTTCATTCTTTGTCAATAAAAATTCAGTTTTTTCAGTTAGTGAACTACAATCTCTCAGTTTTAGGAGAGAATAGCCCTATTCCAGCTTGAGAGCATGTTATATGGTTTTTCTAAACCAGATATTTTATAATCTCATTTTCCTTGGCCATGGATTGTTGTAAGGAGGAGCTTGTAGTCTGGAACGTTTCAACAACATGTAAACCAATAAAAACTATCTTTCCCAATAAAAGCAAAAATCTTCATATGCATATGGATTTTCCCACCCCATATTTCCCCTCAAACGATGCTAATTTTATGCCTGAGAGTGAAGCAATCATGCACCTTGAAAGCCCATATACAAAAGAAATAACAAAAAGTTAGGAAGGAATCAGGAACCCAAAATGCATGTTGAATCACTTAATCAAAGCCCATAATGATCTTTATTCTTGTGTCTTCTAGTATCTACATGGTCACATCGTTATCTGTAGCTTTATCACTGGTCTCCAGAGTAACCTATCTGAGCTCTATGGAGCATATACAAATGGAAGACCACCTGCAGCTTCAAGTTAACACATTGAAATTTGAACTCATATTGCATCCACCCAATGCCTTTATAAATATTATTACTACTCCCCCAGGTCCCCAGTATAGACACCTGTGTGGCACTCTTGTTTGTGCTTCACTTTTCATCTCTAGTTGTATAATTTTTACTATCAAATATTTCTCAATTCACTTTCCTTTTCTTCCTTTCTATTGTTTTTTTGTGTTGTTCTAGACTTCATATTTTTCTACCTTGTCTGAATGACTTCTCTGATCCATGCTTCCCTGCATCCAACTCATTTATAGTCTGATTACAGATGTTTATCTAAAGTTTCATAAAATTACATGGCTTTCCCACTTAAAGACTCATGTCTATCAAGAGAAAATTCTTGAAATCCCACAGTGTATCACAAAATATCTGAGAGGAGATGAGCAATATTTGATTTCAGAAGATATTTATATAGAAAATTTAGGGTATGAATATATCAAAATATTACTGAAGAAATAATCAAAATTGATTTCTGATAAAAACTTTTAGTGAAATCATTTAAACAAATATATTGAATTTAACAAAAACCTATAAAGTATAAGGAAGATCTCATTTGTAAATTAAACAAATGTACTATATGCATTCTATTGAAAAAAACACAAATTTTTCTGAGATATTTGAAACAGACAAAATGGAGATAAAACCGTGCTAATGGAGAAAACCATGCTAAAGGCTTCAGGCTATAAAAATATAAATAGTCACTGAACTAATCTGTAAAATAATTGCAGTACTCATTAAAAGTTCAGTGGAGATATTTTGCAATATTAAAAAGTGATCCAAAAGTTCATTTAAAAGCTCAGGTTTTGAAAATATACCAAAATGGCATTTGGGGGAGAAAAGAAATGTTTTCTAAAGATATTTAAGTATATCATAAATCTATGCTAGTTAACCTCAATAATCTGACTAAATTTGAAAAAATAAATGTAACAAGGCACAGTTAAGAATTAGATACAAATTAGGGAGGTGGGAGGGGAGGATCAGGATGGGGAATACATGTAAATCCATGGCTGATTCATGTCAATGTATGACAAAAACCACTACAATATTGTAAAGTAATTAGCCTCCAACTAATAAAAATAAATGAAAAAAAATTAAAAAATAAAAGCACACACACACACAAAAAGACTAACCTACATTACCTTTAAGATATAGTTAACTATTCAAAATACAATAAATAAAATCCATTAGAGATAAACACAAGGTCACCTATTTAAAAACAGGAAGTAATATTACCTAGGACAGGCTGTTGCTGCTGCTGCTGCTAAGTCGCTTCAGTCGTGCCCGACTCTGTGNTAATAGTAAAATTATAAAATTTTAATAAAATATTTCTGAATTAGTTTTTAAAGCAAGGTGGAAGAGGTCTTTGTCCTATTCAAATTCAGAAACTAGATTCAGTTTTACATTTTATTCTCAACAGAATGAAACAACCCCCATTGCTGTGAGATGGAGGAAGCAATGCTTCTCATGCTCAGCTGAAGGTACAATCATTCTAGAGGACAGTTGAGTAACAGATGCAAAAATTCTTAACTGTATCACCAAGCCCAGATGGTTATTTTGAAAGGAAATAAAATGAACAATGTGTATTAATGTTAGTTTACTTATCATCTTTTTATAGGAAAGATTGGAATCATATTAACTGTTTGAGTAAGGAATGAATTAAATGGGTATACTTAAACAAAGCTTTGAAGGATATTTTATGTTCATGGCACAAGATAGTATTAACTATGAGAATAGGACCATAGGATACAAAACAACATGAGTGAAAGTCATTCAAATAAGGAAATAAGGTGAATTAACAAAGGACAAGGGCAACAAAAAGAGAGGTAAATTGTGGAGAGTGAAAAAGGAAGTGATAATTATGAAAACAGATGCTGATGAGTTTAAGAGTGAGTTCTCCCCTACCTGCACAGGCTCACATTTCTCTTTCAGCAGCTTCAAAGAATTGAGAGACACAAGTAGATTGACTCCATTTTCGAGTCATCATTATTGGTAAAGACATATAAGATTTAAACCGTTTCTACCATGGTTATTAGTGACTAATATCTCTTCCATTATTGGCTCTTTATAGAAATTAGATCTTTCATGAACATTGGCTTTTCCCAAGGGTCAAATATCAGGAGATACAGAACAGAGTAATTGGGAAATTGAACAGTTGGTCTTATGAGTATTGACTATGTGGTTCTGACAATATTTTTTCTAATTTGAGATTATAGGTGTTCATTAAATTATTGATACCATTATTATAATTGATTATATCTGTTCAGCATCAATATCATATTAAAGACCAAATAATATAACATGCTCTTAATTGCTAATCCCAGTTAGAATTTTGAGAAGTAATGAGTTGGTATTTGAAAAATATGGGAATTTCAAGATAGTGTGAATATAAACTCAAGAATTTCACTTGGAGTTTTTACACCTAAAATTATTCTATATAGAACTCTGGAGACAAACTTTTTTAGTAGAAGGCAACGTGTAACTGGTATTTTTCAGTCTTCACAAACCACTTAATAACAGCTTATCCTATCTAGGGCTTCACTGTAGGATCGCTTTTGATTTCTACCTGTAGAGCTGCTGCTTGGGATCCTTTTTGTCTAGAAATAATGCAGTTCTTGTCTAAAAGGAAGAGAAGCTATTTATTTAAGGTGAATCTATTTTCTGGAGATATTAGCTCCAGGTTTTTAGTCCTGTTTTGGCCAAAATGGCGCACAAAGTTTTTTATGTCATGTGTACAGTAGCTAATTTACATAGAGCTAGACAAATAGTGGATTAGAAAGTGATGAGAATATAATGTCTGAGAATAATAAGATTATAGTGCATAGTTGCTCAGTTGTGTCCGACTCTTTGTGACCCCATGGACTATAGCCTACCAAGCTCCTCTGTTCATGGAATTTTCTAGGCAAGAATACTGGAGTCAGTTGCCATTTCCTTCTCCAATAAGATTATAACCAGAGATCAAATTGCCAACATACATTGTACCAGAGTAATAATATAGTACAGTGTATGAAGTGTGAATTGTGTGGGAGAGGAAAAATCAAGACAAGAAAGCAGTGAAGAAACAACTAAGTGAATTGAGGATCTTTTCTTTGCAAACTTGAATCCATAAATATTTACTGTTCCCAGTGAGGCAAAATTATAGAGTGGGAAGGCAATAGGTACAGGGTTAAAAAATTAAGAATACAGTCTCTATCGACACTATTTGTTTTTCCTCCTCATTTTAGGTGTATAGGCTACAGGGAAAGGTGAGGCAAAAAATGAGAATATGTAATTACATGATTTATTATCTAAGCTGACTTGGCAAAAGTCAGGAATATTGATCAGTTTTATATGGCTACTAGTTTAGAAGCATGAATATTCTTACATGGATATTATTATTAAATTAAAAAAAATTTTTTTCCCTAGCTTAACAGTATCACTTTTCCCAGACAATAAATGACCTATACTTTAGTACATTCTACCATAACATCATTATAATGGGAGTTAGGGAGGTGATTTTGTGTCTGAGACAAATTTGCTACTTGATCACTCAATTTTTGGTGGTAATCCTTAAACTATGGTACTCCTGTTAAGTATTTTGATCACATACTTTCATGTTTAAAACCAGCTTTGGGGTTGGTTCTGATACTCTGTAAAGTAGGCAGCAAGAAAGAATTGTATATTTCTCAGGAACTATCTGCAAAGAGGGTGGAGCAGTAGTAGGTAGGGAAAGCCTTTATTACAAAATTCCAGTGCAGTTCCTCTGAAAGAGCAGGAATGAGAGGGAACTGGAGGAGCCTCAGACTGCAGTGCTGCAGTGAGAAAGTCTCAACTGATTTGATGGGAGGAGCTCCACAGTCAAGATTGTCCATTACAGATATTCCACATTGGGCAGGAATGTTCTGACTCTGAAAACATCCACTGTTTTCAGTCATTTGCTGAGAGCAGCCATGTGAGAGTTGGCCTCTGAAAGTTGCATTGGAAGGTAAAACAGTAATAGCTAAAAGCTGTCAGTGAAGTACATTCCTTGAAGCAGGTTTTTTCTTGAAAGGAGATATGAGTGCTGCAGTCCTATGGCTAAGTACAGTTTTAGATATTCCATCCCTATATATTCCATCCCTATTATGTAGTACACTTTACACTATTGGAAGCCTTTGATTTTTCCTTGCTCTGGTACTTTGGTTTTATTTTGAAAGAAGTAAATAACTCTGATAATAATGATTTACTTCTAAAACACTATTAAATCTATCTTTACATTTATCTTTACTCTCCAAAAATTTCTCATTGATGATGTTCATCATGCTTACTATGCATTGAAGAAAACAAATGAAACAGGCAATTCTGTGTATTAAATGCTATTATAAATAGGTAGAGATACGAGGGGAACATTTCATGAAAAATGGGTGCAGTATAGGACAGAAGCAGCAAGGAAGTAACAGAAACTGAAGCAATTAAGAAGAGGTGGTATGAATACACAGAAGAACTATACAAAAAAGATCTTAATGACCTCTATTACCGTGATGCTGTGGTCACTCATTTGGAGCCAGACATCCTGGAGTGTGAAGTCAAGTGAGCCTTAGGAAGCATTACGAGGAACAAAGCTAGTGGAGATGATGGAATTCCAGCTGAGATATTTCAAATACTAAAAGATAATGCTGTTAAAGTGCTGCACTCATTATGCCAGCAAATTTGGAAAACTCAGCCATGGTCACAGGGCTGGAAACGGTAATTTTTCATTCCAATCCCAAAGAAAGGAAATGCCAGAGATGTTCAACTACTGTACAGTTGTGCTCTTTTCACATGCTAGCGAGGTAATGCTCAAAATCCTTCAAGCTAGGATTCAACAGTATGCAAACTGAGAACTTCCAGATGTACAAGTTGGATTTAGAAGAGGTAGAGGAAACAGAGATCAAATTGCCAACATCTGTTGTAACAGAATAAGCAAGGGGATTCCAGAAAAACATTTACTTCTGCTTCATTGACTATGCTAAAACCTTTGACTGTGTGGATCACAGTAAGCTGCAAAATTTTTAAGAGATGGGAATACCAGAACACCTTACCTGCCTCCTGAGAAACCTGTATTCAGGTCAAGAAGCAACTGTTAGAACCAGACATGAAACAGCGGTCTGGTTCAAAATTGGGAAAGGAGTATGTCAAGGCTATATATCGTCACCCTGCTTATTTAACTTATATGCAGAGTACATCATGTGAAATGCTGGGCTGGATGAAGCACAAGCT